CCCTATGAGCAAACACTTTGGCGACAGTGGGAAGGTAAAACAGGAAGAAACCTTCGGCAGAACCAGGTTAAGAGCGGGATGGAAGATGTGGAAGAGAGACAGAGATAAATAACAGGTATGATTCAATGCAGAGAGGTTTATTAACACATAGTGAGTGAGAAAGGTGACTGGAAAGGAAAAACTCAATGCATCATGGGAATCCCCCATTGCAGCATAAGTAAGGGAGGATTCAGGGTCACCTGATCCAGCCCTAACTATATGCTTTAGCAGAAAGGAAATGTGGTGTGGGAAAGAGTAAAATAGGAGGATGATCTCAGAGTACAGAAAGGAGTGGAGATGTGCAGAATATTAGAGAGATTATGGAGACTTGAAAATACGAAGCAGAATCTTAAAATCATTGCCGTATTTTAGCTGCTGAAGGAAGGGGGTCCTATGAAAGCTGTTCTAATAAAAACACAACAGCTGCATTTTGAATCTGCTGAAATCTGTGTGGTAAGGCAGGAAGGATAGAATTACTTGATTGATATGAGATCAAACCAGAGCCTGTACTAGTATAGCATTACTGTTAGCTGTGAGGGAAGGGCATAGCCTATAGCCAGCTTTGTGCTTCAGTGTCACTGGCCATATAGTTTCAGCAGTAAACATGCAGCACTGTTATGTCTGTGCGGACATGTAGAGTAACAGGAACTCTGATGGTTTCTATGTAATTTCACAAGTATTCGTCTGGAAAGACATAAAAGTAAAGAATGGAAAAGAAATAAAAGTAAAAACTGCAAAAATGTTCAAGCTGTTCTATTTTTAACTGACACAATTATTATTTACAAGATTATATCAAGGAGAAAAAAGCAGCTGATGCTGATTAAATGGTACACTGTACCATGCACACAGTGCTCCTTGTTATTGTTTCCTGCTCCATAATTGTAACATCACAAGTTAAACACCAGGGGGCGCCATTGGGGTGTTTAAGGCTAGACTATCATAGGTAGCGCTCACTTTAGTTAAGTGGGCTGAAACAGTAAAACTTGCCTCTCTGCCAGCGTCAAGAAGTTTAACTGCACGTTTGAACTCTGAGATATCTTAATATGAGAAAAAGAAGCACAATTTCAACAGTGCGCCTCGTTTTTTCTACATGGTAAAGAAATGCTGCCGTAGTAAAAGAGAAATCTGTCAGCATGACTCTAACTTTAAGAAATTAATGTGTAAAATTACAGAAAACGTTCTGGTCATTACTGATAATGTCCTTAAATTATAAAACAGAAACTTCCCATTTTATTTTATTACTATTGTATTTTCTTTTTTAAAAAATGATTATGTTACACGTTGTAAAAAAACCTCAAACTTTAACCATAAAAACAATAGAAGAAATTGCAGTTAGAAGTCCAAAATGTTTGCCCTCATTCACATTGTCCAAAGCTGTCCAGTGGGCCAGATTGGAGTCATTGTGGGTCTGACTCTGGCCCCTGTGCCTTATATTTGACACCCTTGGTTTAAGACCAATAGTGAGGCCACTCCTTAATGCAACCCCTGACGGTTAAATTTAACATCAATAAATGAACCATAGTGTAAATCAAATTTGCTTATAATGGCTCTAGAATTGAGTAAAGAGTGGTTGTGATTCATGTAACATCAAGCACCGACTCAAAACCATCTTCAATCTGACTTTAATTTAGCTGCTCCGTGATTTAAATTTTACATCAATAATTCAGTTATCATTGAAAATTCACCAGGATCAGGATGTGAGAGATATATCTGGCCTTTCAGCTGATCACTGAAGCCTCATCAATGGTCAGTGAAAGGGTGGCTGTCAAGAAATTATTTTAAAGGTACCCATATGGAAAAGATATATATAAATCTTATAAAGTTTGTATCTGTCTTGTGTGAAACTTGTATGAAAAGCATATAAGAGTGAAAACAGATATAAGATCCCTTGAGAAATTATATAATGAAACTTGTATGTTTTGGATACTTACTAAAACAATGTATGAAAGTAATGAGAAAGTGGCCACTTTCATGAGTAATCACATATAAGTTTTTACTATTTCTTTTCCGTATGGGTAGAGATAAGGCTGAGGTATGGAAATTACTGGGGAAAAAAACCCTGTTGTCTGATGAGCTGATTAATAAAAATTTGACATTTTTGTCAAAGTCTGGAGGAGGCCAGGAGAGAAGTACGATTATACAAACTCTGGTTTGCGCTTTATATACTACACTTTTCCAACTAAATATACAGAAATGAGTTGTGGCCAAAGATGTTTAGACAGTACCAGGATCTATTGCACATTGCCCATTTTGTGCACATTAATAGCGGTGCAATTGTTTTAAATAAACTATAATTCCCAACAAACAGGAACAGTTCCTGCTGAAGATTAAAGCGTATACCTGTATACACTGGTTGCTTTGTGCACCACCTGCCATGTCCATTTTTGCTTGTTGTTACAGTGCTGGTAATTGCTGCAGTTTTCTCCTGAACGAGTAATAAAAACAAAAACAAATGCACGGTTATTACGTGTACCATAAAAGCACTATTCAGTTAATTATCTTAAAACAATACAAATCTTTACATCATCAAGGCTGGAGATCAAACATTAAGCGATCTCCTGCTGTGGTGCTGAGAAGAGCGCCAATAAACAGTCAGACTGTGTGCACACATTAATATGACAGGCTGGTTGCAGAAAGAAACGTTTTCTTCGCAGACTCATATATAATCTGACACAATCACCACTGTTCAAAGCATGCACATTGAAAAAGCATGACTATTGTGCTTCTACTGAAGCACTGTAGTGTGATGAGATTGCTTAAAGTTTTAAGTTTTGACATGTGTTAAATAACACAAATGTAAAAAAACGTTTATTGTTAGTAAAGAAGAAACAGAAGAAGAAACAGGGACAGTTGACAGCAACGGCGGTGGTTCTCCTTTACATACCAATGCTCACTATCCGTTTACAGTGTCATGTAGCACAATTACATTTTAATTCGGTGGAAAATTAAAAACGGCTCATCAAATATGAACATTTGGTTGGATTGCCTTTGGTTTATAGTATTTTAGGGAAAATGGTGAGACCCCAGAGACAATGGAGATTAAATAGGGTGACCAACCGTCCTCTTTTTTTGTGCACTTGTTGACTTGTAAAACCTATATGACAGTTTTTATTTTACCGTTCATTAACCACACAGAGAAGGCATAGTTTAAATATGTTAAAGTTTTCTTTAAGTAAACAGTATTATTAAAGTTCTTTATGACTGGCACAAGTGTCCTCTTTTTTTGGAAATCAAAATATGGCCACCCTAGGTTAAATAACCCAACTTTGCTTAAATTAAACCAAAGAAAATAAATAAAAATGTGGCGACCATGGCAGTGATGCAGTAGTTTGTGGTGACTTTAGCAGACAGACGAGCAGAGACGCCGACACCTGAAGAAATCACTTGGATGAGCGACGTTTCTCACACTGAAAATGCTACGAATCAACTTTGTGGACTTTCCTTAATTGGATAATTGAGCGCTCACAAGACCTGCTGCAAGAGCCGATGTCTCCCCTGCACCAGCAAAGCTTTCTTTGCTTATGTACTAAAGGAGATATTGAAAATGTTTCCACACTGCATGATGTTTAGCAAGAGGAAACTTATCTGTTACGAGGATGAATCCCAGAGGGCTTGATTACTCGCCAGTGCTCTGTCTCCACACAAAGCGCAGATGGTAACTGATCTCAGAGCAGTGGAACCTGAGCCAGCCAGCAGCAGCTTGTCTGATTTATCAACAATACACAACCACAAACATTTGTCGGTCTCTCAGCTTGCCAACCCACATCCCCATGAAATTAACGGGTGCTACATATTTCAGTGGGGTTCAAGTCAAGCAGAGTCCAGCGTGCTTCTGCAGAGAACAGCCACTGAAGCCACAAGATAGCAGTAATTTAAAGGATGGATGCAAACAAGGGAAAATCTTTAGAATGGAACAGTGTTAGGGATTAAAACCTTGGTAAACCTTTTGCCTTAGACAAACACAACCGTGTTGCAGGGACACGATACTTTCTTGTGTATGATGTATAAAACAGTGCAGTTTATTTCTCATCAAACAAATTCAAACCTGCATAGATCATTAGTATTAAAGTGAAGTGGACACCAAACTCAAAAACTGCCAGTCTATTTCAGTTTTTGGGCTCCAGGTTTGCATTCATGTTGCACATATATAAACATTATGCTTCCTTGCTGGTCTCAGACGAGCTGGGGAGGTCTGACAACTCAAAGATTCAAAATTCACACCATCAATAATAATTATCAACAGTCTGGTGTTTGACATGGAAAATGCTATTTTGTTGCAGTATTGTGGACGATCATGGCAGAAAAATTGTCAGTACAGATGAACCCTATTCCACTCTTAATATGTCTGTGGCTCCTTAAGCTCCATAAAAAGTCACAGTTTGGTATATTTCTTGGCTAATAATATGCTATACATTACAGCTTACATGAAAAGCACACTTCAAATAACCCTCCTCAATCTCAGACAGACAGGATCTTGAGATATAAAAAGAAAGAAAACCACTGATCTATAGCACCACTAGTGGTCAAAAGCATATACAACGGCCTTTAAACTCCTCTCCTTTAGCTGAACACAACTTCCCCCTATAAACATTAAGAAATACTCCATCTTATACATAAAGTTGTTTTTTTAACAAATAAAGATCAAATACAGAACAACAAATCTTTTTAATTAAATATTAAAAATGAACAATAAGGAGCTACTTGGCACTGCTCTAAGGCAGCGGTCCCCAACCTTTTTTGTGCCACGGACCGGTTTATGCCCGACAATATTTTCACGGACCGGCCTTTAGGGTGTCGCGGATAAATACAACGAAATAAAACTAGTACCGGTACCGAAAAAAAGAAGATTTATTCATAACACACCTGAAAAGACCCAGGAAAACCGAGTTAACGATAAAAATGATAACAAAATAACGCTGAAAACCGATAAAAACCCTGAAAACCATACATTTCACACCTGAGCCTCAACTCTCGCAGCCCGGTACCAAACAACTCACGTGTCCGAGGCCCGGGGGTTGGGGACCGCTGCTCTAAGGCAAACAGTAGTAACTTACAAAGCAGTCATAACTCAAAGCAATTTAAAGACTAAAAACTAAAAAACACTTGTTGGACAAAGTTGCAAATTTCACACACCTACTGTCTCTGCTACAATAGAAGCATCAATGCAAAAAACCCCCAAACAAACAAACAAACAAAAAAAACAAACCTTAAAAATAGCAGATAAGATAAATACAAATTTTGGGAAAACATTATTTTGACAAATTTCCTTTAAAAGCCATAAAAAGTGCTATTGGTCACATTCTCCAAATAAGAGATTGCTGCAATGACTGAACTCATTTTGAATCAGAGTCCGATATAAAAACACAACAACTTAATTATTTGGTTAAAAATATTAGATGGATTTTTTTTCCTGAAAAATCTAAAAAAAAACCCCCAAAAACCCAGAAACATCAATTCTATTAAATTCTCTCAGGAAAGGTCAGTGAGAAGAAAGTGATGGAGAGTAGAGTCATCCACACCATCCTCTGCATGTTCCTGCAGTCTTTTGGTTCAGACAGTCCTTCAGTCCTGGTCTTGTTTCGGTTTAATTGACAGGCACCCCGAACATCCACCGAGTCCCTTCTCCTTTGTGTTGTAGTCAAAGCGAGGCAGAACAAGAACGCTGCCATCTGGATCGCCCTTACAGGCGCCACTGGTGGCTTCAGCCAGCGCTCTCTCCTCTTCCACAGACATGATGCTTTTCACCAAGCATGTGATGGCAGCGTCGATGTTGGTGTTGTCCTGGGGAGAGAAAGCGAGAGAGATAGGATGAAGCTGAAGGGTTGAAGAAGTTTTGATGGAGGTAGAAATAGTGAAATGTCTTAACAGTAAAATCCACCATATTGTCCATTTAAGTATTTAAGGGTTGTGTTTAGGCGCTTAATCACTCAGGAAAAACTTGGACGAATGACTAAAACTCGTCTTGTTTGGATTTAAAAGAGCTCTGGGTAATGACCCAAAGAAAGAGATAATGGACACAAGCAGCAGGAACAAGCTTTCTCTGAAGGGTGGCTGGGCTCAGCTTATTGATAGAGTTAGGAACTTGGTCATTTCATTTTGGTCAAAGGGAGCCAGCTAAGTGAGCCACTTCCTGTATGTCCCGGGGTAGACTTAGGACACACTGGTGTCCTAGGTCTACCCCAGGACCGGCTTGGGAATGTCTCAGTGCTTTGTCTCTAAGAGCTGGAGGAGGTGGCTGAGGACAGGGAGGTTTGGGCATCTCTGCGCACATGTCTGCAGAGTCCAGAACAGCTGGAAAAGGGTGCATTTTCAATAGAATGGTGACCTACTGGGAACCACAGCTTCAACTTCATTTTGTCCTAAATTTGCTTTGCATGATTTACAGTTGCCTTGGTGCAGCAAAGATTATCTAACAAGGAAGAGACACATTAGCAGTCACAAAGAAAACACAGATATACTTCCTGCAGACCCGAACAACAACAACAACAACAAACAATGCAAAGATGTGCAATAGAGAACGTGTTCATTTAAGCCATCACCACGTGGCTTCTTTTTTTAAAACGCAGCTTTCTTGAGTTCGAGAGATACCGCTTACCCAGTACGTTCTCTGTTCACAACTTTCCCTCTAACAGTACAAAATCCTAACACTATTGTGGGTTAAATCAGTCTACACAAAATCATGTGATTGCTTTAACAAGTTGCCACACTGTTCCTCTTATGCCAACTCATTTTGTTATTATTTATTACCAATTTGCTTTTTTTGAGTTTGTATTGCAGCCCTTTAGCAGCAATTCCTATTTTCTTGTGTTGTGAACTGTAGGGGGATGAAATATTTCTGTATGCTCGTTCATTTAATGGCAATAAAGATCTTCTCGTTCTAATCATTTAACTCCTTTCTCTTTCAGACCACCGTCTCTTTAAGGCAACTTTTTTCTGATTGGGTGCCCACTGGAAACAAAGGGTTTGAACAGCAGGGGGTGGAGCTTATGTGTGCCTGTGATGACCGTATTAGGGATTTCAGCTATTGCTGATGTTGAGTAAAAGAGTAAACAAACATTAAAATGGAGCATTCACGGTTGTCTGAATCCTGAGCTTTTGGCACGTACACTGAAACTTCATTACCTGAAACTCTGATAATCTTTAATGGGAGCAGCTACAGCTGAACATCTATATTAATCATTTTTCCATCGTAAAGGTGAAATATTTCAAATATTAACGTCTTTAAATAACTGATCAAATATTCTTTTTGTCTACAACATCTACTAAAAAAGGAAACTCACTAAAGTCTACTAGAGCGCTCCTCATTTCCTGAGGTGGTGTGTGTGTGTGTGTGTGTCTCAACTTGTTTCTGTTATGTAACGGGTAAAAAGAGGACATGAGGCTTTGAAGGTTCTGTAAGGTGAAGAATGAAAAGCTGTGCTTCCAGCCTTCCACCTTTAATTTAAATAAATTGGATCAACAGATGAGCCACAGTAAGCGCCGTGTTCTCACTTTTTTTTCCTTTTAAGATTTAACTGAATTCCAAGTTTTTCTGTTGGTACTTTTAGCCGATACGAACTAATTGAATTCTGCGAGTTGGCAGCTACGAGAGCCAGCTGTGACTGAATCATGAAAACTTATATAACTGGATATTATGTGAACATGGCATTCACTATAACCTGATGTACCTAACTTCTTTTCTTCTAACAGCCTAGAAGAAGACATGCTTTATATTTGTAAGGGGCCAGTATGTAAATGAGACGGTGCTGACAACACTGTTTTCAACCCTGTACCCTCTGGGTGTCATCACCCCAGGTCAGACTGTGGGCTTTTGAAGCTTTGGGGTTGAATTGTTTCTTTGGTTGATAGATAATTTTTTAATCCCAATTGTTCAATTGTTACAGCAGCACATGCGTATTAAGCTTAATATTTTCTAGAGTATTTTAGTATTTTGTTTTTTCTTAATTAATTAAATATATTCCTCAGTTTTATTCATTCTGAATGTTTCCTGGATAACACAGCGAAGTTCTTCTAATTGTCGGTGGTTCTCCGTTTAGTTACAGTTCTCACTTCTTGTTTTATATTAATAGTTGTCTTGTCTCTAGAGTGTGTTTAGTTTTACTTCCCCTTCTGTCTCATTGTCTTAGATTACTGTCACCTGCCTCTTGTCACCCTTGCGAATACATAACAGTCTTCCTCTTAGTCTTTGTTAGCTTCCTCTATGCGCATTTTCCACTAAGTTTTGGATCGTGTTTGTGTTTCTGGTGGACTTTTCTGGTGGAAATTCAACAATGCAAAATAAAGCTTTACCTAAAACCAACCTCCATTTGGGTTCCAAACACTCATTTGATTCATGACACCAGGGCTAAGAAAAAATGAAGCCATCGCAGGCGTGCTACATGCTGCAGTTCCTCTAGTGGCCACTTGAGGCTGACTCTAAAAGCGAGTCGGTCCCCATTGACTCCCATGGTAAAATGCACATGCGTGCAGCAGAAATAAACATTTTTACAGCCTTACATTACTAGCTGCCTACAACATTTTTTAAATTTCTCATTCAGTATTTATTGGTCAAAAAACAAAATTTTCCCCTGGATACAAACTTTGGTGACCGTTAAGTTACAAATGGGGACATATGCTGATCGTGACATGTGAAACAAATGCAAACAGAGAACGTGACATCAGATTTGCAGGCGAGTGATGAATATGGAAATCTGAAGAATTGGGATATAAGAAAACATTTTTTTCCTTTCTTTTTAAAAAAAACTTGATCATAATCATCAGAATGATAATGAGAATAATAACTGTATATGTGATGATAATCATACAAAGTTTTGTTAAGATTGGCACACCAGTTGTGGAAGCGATACACACAGACATATATACACATGCTAAACTATAAGCATTACAGTAAGACAGGGGGTGTGGCTTGTTTATTGTGACCAAATCTAACACCCATTAAATGCTGACAGGAAGACAGAAACAGAAAATAATCTCATCTTGCCTTGGCAGAGGTTTCATACCAGTCGACAAATCCGTACTCTTTGGAGAAGTTCTCCAGTTTGGGCAGCTTGGGGCACAAACCATGATGCCGCTGGTCACATTTGTTGGCCAACAGAACAGCTGGAACTAGCCTCCCATTGCTGAGGGCAACCTAATGAATCCCAGAGGAAGATGGAAAAAGAAATGCAATGAAAATTTACGAAAATAATTCATGATGAAGCAACAAAGACCTGTCGAAGCTTCCAGTAGATGAGCCTCAATTTGAAGTGCTTCACTGTAATCTGCAGTTTGTGAAGGGATACAGCAGCATCAAGTGATGGCATCTGTCTGTTATGTTATGCCTATTTATTTATCTATATTGATATCAGAGAGGCATCAGGCTTGTAATACAGTGATAAAAAAAATAAATACTGATTTGGCTATCTATTACATAGTTGATAGGCAGAGGGCACTGAGAGTAAGATGACAATGTAAAACGGATTGCTTGCAGGGATGGGCCTCTGTCTGCAGCCCCTGCTGAGCATTACAGTTTCAGCTCAATGTTTCAATGTTAAGCTGTAATGTATGCAAATGTGCTTTTCGTCAATCTTACAGCCCTCAAAGCATAATTTGTATTTGTTCAGAAGAAGCTCTAAGCCTCACCGAAGATCTTTGAACATAGTTAGCATCAAGCTGGAAAAACATTGTAGGTAATAAAGGAGACATTTCTCACAAGGAAACACACATATGCACACACTATATATAGCCTTGACTTGTGGTCTTTGTTTTATACTTGTTTTTCTTCTCCTTAATGTCTTTATTGAGGTCTCTTCTTTTTCAGTGAAAAGTATTTTAAAAATAAGATTAAAAAAAGAAATACACCTCCAAATATAACTCTTTAACTGCTGGATGTGTAAAAGAAAACAAAACAACTTCACTTTTGTGTAAAGTACTTCTACTGCTTTGAAGTGGCAAATGAAATCAGTCAGTCAGTCAGCTGTCTGTCATTTGATACTAAGCTGACAGTAAGCTGGTCATTTGAGGACTGCTTCCTCATGACCAAACTGGAAAATAGCCCAGATTAGCAAACGGGGATTCTGGGGATTAGAGGAAATCAAGAAAAAACTAAATAAAAAATGAACACACAAAAATGTACAAAAGTTTATTTCCCATTATTTTTAGATCTTGAATACATATATTATCAAAACATATATATCGTAACAAAATGATATGTGTAGAATACAACTGTCTTTATCCCACCTGCTGCGTTCTCCCTGACATTGCTGAGTCACAAACTAGGCTAGCGATCCTGAATACAGTACTTCCAAAATGAATTAAACAAGGAAAAGTGAGGTAAAAAAACAAAACAAAAAAAAACCTCCACCACCAACAACAGGAAAACAGAAAAGGGGATGCACAACTATTGAGAAACCACTTTTTTTTTTTTTTTTGGCTAAATCAGGATGAAAACACAACATTTAACTTTAAGCAGTGGCTTTCCACCAACGCAAACAAGGCAGGCAATTGTTCAGTAAAATATAAAAATAGACATCAATTAAAGCCAAAGTAAAGTGACCACTCTTCTATCTCAGACAGTGCTCTGTCATAAAGCTTCTCCTGTCGCTTGTTTGCATCTATCGTTTAAATTGTTGACATCTTGTTGGCACAGTTGACCACAGTCTCTGGAAGCAGGCTCAACTCTGCTTGGCTTAGGTTCCACTGAAATATGAAATATGCAGTGCATCAGTTTTACAGGCATAGGTATCCTGCCAACAATGGCTAGAGGTTTTCAAGCTGCGAGACAAAGCACATGCATACTGTGGAGAAATGTTGGTCTTTCACTTTGACCTGATATGCTGCCTCTAACTCTGCTTTCACTGATCTGAGATCAGTTACAATCTGCAAAGTGAAATAGAACCAAGACTAGCAAGTAAACAAGCTTCTGTGATTTATCATCTTAAGTTAAAAGAAAAACATGAAAAAAAAATGTTTCTTATTTATTTTTCATATAATATAAGCTTCTAGTGAAAGCTATAAGGTGCCTTTTTTTAAGTAAGGTCTCTCCAGTGTGCACGATTGTGCGCATTCCTGTATCACATGTTTAATTATTAGAGAAAGAGGAAACAAAGCCTAGTGACTTGATCTGGGCTTGTCCGTTTAACCTGTTGAGCATGAGCCCCCAAACAAACCATTAGTTATGCTAGACTCTGGTTAATAAACTACATTAAGATTATGTACAACCCAAATTCCAAAAAGTAGGGATGCTGTGTAAAAAGATTTGCTTATTGTGAATCCGGTGGCAGCAACATGTCTCGAAAAAGTTGGGATGTGTGCAGCAAAAGACTAGAAAGGAAGAGCTGAAGGAATATTTTGCAGCTAATTAGGTTTGCTGCCAACAGGTTGGTCACATGATTGAGTAGAAAAAAGAGGCAGAGTTTTTCAGAAGTAAATATGAGCAGAGGTTCTTGGGTTTTTCTTTGTTTTGCTGTTGTTTTTATTAACATTTTAAAATGTTCCAACTTTTTCAGAAAGTCTGATTTACTTCAATCCTACAACAATATTAGATTTTTCACCCTGATTCATGCAAATTTATTTGCCTCAGCCCCAAGTTTGTAGATTTTTATTCAGAGCAAAGAAATACATTTCTTAAAACTTTTTAAACTGCACTCATTTCCTCCTTCACAAAATCCTTGTGGTGGGGCGTGGCTTGCTGTGCCATGCAGGGAGGGCGGACGCACCTGCGTGGCATCCGCAAACATGCCCGCTGACTACAACAAGTGCGAGTGGTGGTGTATTGTGGTGTGATGCATCTGCGGCTGACAGCTGAGAGCTGCAGCCGCGGTCAATAAAGATGGCTCAAAACTATGACCTGTGGACTCAACGTGCCTTATTCCCACTAGGGCTGCCACGATTAGTCGATTAGTCACGATTACGACTAATTTAATAGTCGACACGTCGTTTGAAGCTTTGTAAGATCCCAAAAGATGCAGGGATAAGTAGTAGGATTTAAGAATGTAATAATGGACTGAAAAAGAAGATGGCAGCACTGCATGTCCAGGGATGCCCGCTGCCATTAAACCCCAAAGAAGAAGAAGCAGTGTCCGGTTTCATAGCTGTGTCCAAATTTAGCGGCCGCATCCTTCGCAGGCCGCATTTGTAGGCCAATTACGTTACAGCAACACGGCGAAGCATGCCCAAATTCGAAGACTCCCCCAAACACGGCCCAAAAATGCGTCCTTCATTTCTCCAGTTATGAAGGATGGGTCGGGTGTATGCTTCGTGGCCCAAACAATCCCAGAATTCATAGCGCAGCCCAGCCAATTCCAGTTTTCAACAATGGCGGCAGCTAGTTAGTTTTAATATATATTTTTTTCTCTTTTTTTTTTTTTAAATGTTAAACTTTATTAAGAAACCGTATACAGAACATGTATACAATCAGAACAAAATTAACATATGCCAGGGGGTGTAATACAAAGAATTACATACATTCAAATAATTTGTAATTACTACAAATAGTAATAGTTTTCATAGCCTTTTTGTTAAGTGATCCACTAATCAATTTTATGTAACATAAAACATCATTATAGTAATGTTTAAAATTAGGTTTTTTGTTACTGTATTTGCATTTGTGAAAATAAAATTTAGCTAAGATAACTAACAAGTTTAGTTAGTTTTAATATTACTCTTATAGGGCTTTGGAGCGTGATGTCACGGGGGTGGGCGTGGAAAGGATTTTGGCCTGATGCGCCATTTTCCCGGTCCAAACAAAGCGCAAGCGACAAAGGAGCGAAAGCACACACAACAGCCATGGTTCGGACTTGCTGCGTGGTCAGCTGCAATGTTCGATTGCACAACCGGCAAGAGAATAAGCTTAAAAAGGGTTTGTCTTTTTATTCTTTCCCAACCTGGAAGCAACATGAGGCAGCTCATATAGCGGACCTTACCAAACGAAGGCGTCTAGCCTGGATAGCAGCCGTGAGACGAGCTGGTATCCAGTTCGCTTCCATGTCCAGATATCACTTAACTTACCGGACAATTTCATTCCGGTAAGTTCTATATATGTTCATATCACTCTTTATAGCTTAATAATATGATCGTTGGTGGTCTCGGAGGTTATAGAAATTGCAAACAAACATCGAATGGAGTGACTTTGCAGACATACGTGCTATGTAACGATTTGCTAATTCTTTCTCACAACTTTTGGGAAGCCTGCCTATGAAATGGCTGTAATATCTTGCCCGATTATCAATGTGGTAGTTTGCATCAACTTTACAATTGTGGGCACATAATATGACAACGAGATTTTAGCAGTTCATTGATAAATGTATAACATCAACTGTGGTAGGGGGTGAACCATGGCCATTACACTCGATGCACTCCAGCGATTTGTAATTACAAAACTGGTTCGCAGTGTAAGCGCTTACTCCACAAACAAGATGTGTGAAGATATCGGGGTAGGACAGTGGCGGTAAGTCGTCTGGGTCTTTATTCCACTGCCATATTTCATATGGGTCCACATTTGCGATGCACTCTGGACGTAATAGGTCTCTATACCATCCGTTTTCTTTTGAGCTGCTTTTAAGCATGTTTCTTGTCGTCGTTGTTCCAACACACTGTGTTTGTTTTGATTTATGGACCCGGAAAATGGCACCGCGCTCCCACAATACATTGCGACGTGACGTCAACTCCTAAGCCCTATTATTCTTTCTGCTTCACAAAATAAACTTTTAACATATTTTCAGGCAAGAATGTAGCTGTGCAAACTTCAAATATCTGCTCGGTTTATCAAGACACCACATATCTGCAAAAGCGCTCCGACGTTTTCAGAGACGTCTGTTACCCACCAGCTCGACAGCTAGAGGGTTCAAGGGTCACTAGAGCCGGTGAGAACACCGGACTCCCAGCACATCATTTTCAACCCCCCCGCGGTGTTTCGCTACTCAGGTTGAACATGATATGCAGTCAGATAATTTAAAAATGTTATTGTTTGGCTTTTTTCAGTGTTTTATTTGTTCCTCAGTAAATCGGTTTGGCTGAGATTAAAGTTATAGTTTTACACAGCTGAATAAACGTCAAACAGAGAACTGATTAAACAGAAGTGTGAGATGGGAGAGAATTTACTCCAGTGTCCTGTTATACTTTACATGGAAAGAACAGACGGCCGAGTTTATTAAACTCCACCGAGACAATCTGCAAATTTCGTTAAACTTTAATAAACTATCATCTTGTCTTTATTTTTAGTTAGCACATACTGTACCTTAAACACTTAAAGCTGTAAGCTAATGATAGTTATCTAAGAGCAGATGCTGCTGGTGCAATAAGCTGTAGTTTTACGTCCAATAGACGCATGATCTGATTAGTCGACTAATCGCAAAAATAATCGGTGACTAGTCGACTATCAAAATAATCGTTTGTGGCAGCCCTAATTCCCACCACACTCCTCTTCTCAATTCTCCACCTCCTTCATCTCTGATTTTTTACCTTTGAGTCCAGGTCTCCTTTCCATTTAAGGATGGCCTGAAACGTGGACAGCCGGGTCATGTCGAAGACGACGAGCGCACCCACGGCCTCTCTGTAGTACACACGGGTCATGTTGCCATATCGTTCCTGCCCTTTTTAAAGAAAACAGAAGACAAACCCAGGCCAATGTTAATTTACAGACGAGACTTTTTAAAAAAAAAATTTAAAGCAGAAAAATAGAAAAAAAAGGAGAGAAGAACGGGAGCAACGGTGAACAGACAACGCTGCTTCTGTAAGAAAGCACACAGCGCCAAAAAAGACAAAGCAGAGGGAGGTACATAAACAAATATACAATTTTGCTATGTGTTCGCAGCATATGATAGGATATGAGTGACTGTGTGTTTGACACAGACCATACTTGAAAAATGAGTTTGAGAGATCGCAATGTTACAGACCCGCACCTAGCAGAGAGGTAGAAAGTGAGTAAAACTAGAGGGGAGAAATGTGACATGAGCCAGAGACCGTGCTTATCAATGCTTATCCCTAAAAGCCTTGGTCTCTAAGTTTTACGTAAAATTGAAAGGCAGTCTGCGCTGCCACGCAGCCCCGCCTACCTACCTCTGGGTAGTGCTCCTGCCTCCAAAGATCCTACATGTACGGTGATGTGTGGTGAGATGTAATGACTATGGTGTCATTAAAAAGGGAGAAACAGATGACCGCACACCACACCCAGCAAAGCCACTTGAATGGTCCAACCCGTCCTATTTGTGTGAGTGATGTGTTGTCAGAGGAAGCGGGGGAAGGAGAGGACTAGGCCTGGAGGAGAGAGCCAGCAAAGCACCCCCCATTTCAAGGAGGCAAGGAACAGCAGATCCGGGACTCATGTTGACTGGAACCCCACACAGCAGCCCCCACTGCAAAGAGTAGTCCAGCTGGATTTCTCAAAGCCCAGCACGAGCACCTCACTCAACCAACAATGAAGACAAAAAAGCACAACAGACCAGCCAGAGTCTGACATACGCCACAGCACCAAGCCATCTAAAGTGATGATAGCTTGGGTGATCACATCAGTTTCTGAGGGTCACACCATTAATACCAAAACTGGTCACTTTTCATAATAATAACTAACATCTTTGCCAGTATCAAACATTTAACCCTAGTTTCCCAGCACAATAAGACACTTTTTTTGTATACAGGAACTGCATATGTTCTTCTCACTGCTGACAGACACACACACACTTGTTAAAAAAATGTTGCAAATGAGAGAAGCATGTGTGTGAACATTTAAGTCTCTATCCTGGAAACTAACTTGCTCCACATGATCCCAATATACCAGTGAATCAGCAGTGGAGCATCTGACACACACAGACACACAACCCTGCGCATGCGCCCGAACACCGAGCACACAAACTGTCTCCTAAAAGCAGATGGTACCTTTCCCTTTTTTTCTGCACACCATCTGATCAGTACTAATAGTATGAGGTCAAAGGTCAACACCACCAATGACCAATGTTTTCAGAATTTAAAATAAGCAAGTCCGGCAATCTAAAAACCAGGAGACCGTGTTCACTCAAAGGTAAATGTACACATGATCATTATTTTTTGTATATAACAGTTTATGTAAATAGACCAGAACATGTGTAATATCCTTTTATTTTTTGTTGTTGTGCTCCTACGAGACTGACATCGCTCTTGCATCCTATGTGTATAATGCGACAGGCAGAGTCAACACCACGTGAGAGCTCCACCCAACAGGCAGCTCATACACCCCTCTGCATTTAATCAGCGTTATCATTAATATCTAAATCTCTTCCACAGCGTGTCTTTTCCCCGTCTTCCCCCTCACCCCCAGCAGATGGCCGCCGGTCCCTGAGTCTGGTTCTGCTGGACATTTCTTCTTGTTAAAAGGGAGTTTTTCTTTCCTTCTGTTGCCAAAATGCTAGATCATGGGGGTGTCATCTGATTGTTGGCTCCTATGGATTGGAACCAGCATGGAAAGCAAACATGACAACTAAAAACAAAACAAAGACAACAACAATAATAACATCTGTCTATCACACACAACGCCTACTATGTTAAAGTAATAAACACCATGTTTTTTTGTGGGTGAGGGAAGTCGTGATGTCACCATATCAGAAACGAAAACACAAAAAGAAGACATCATAACTTATAAAAAAATGACTATACAGAGAGAACATCTATGTAAAAGCACTCTGTGAAGGCTGACCTAAAAAGAACGTACACCAACTCACATTTTTTTATCTTGACATTTGTAACTATAAAACATTCAAATGGGAAAATGCAAAAACTTTGCGACTTGAAAACGCTCCTCGTGACCCTGAACAACCGGCTTCCCTATATTAAGAAAAGCCAGCACAGAACAGCTGTACGGTCACCACATCCACACCGTGAGGACAACATGCCGGCTGTTTGTGTGACCGCAGCAGCTTCATTGTCGTTTAGCAGCAAGTCGTGACCTGCCTCGCTGCTAAAGTCCGCCTAGAAAACAGCCTCAGCCGGACCTTTTCATTTAAATGATAACTCTTATCAGCTGGCACGTCACTCAGCACACACAGTGTGTGTGTCTTTGTGTGTCTGTGTGTGTGAGAGGGAGACAGCAGTGAGACCGGAAAGAAAGGAGTTCCCAAAAAATCTAATTACATGCAATTAAAGAGACACATGGGAGGGTTTTATAAGCTGAATACAGAGAGCTTGTTATGTGCCTCTGCAGGAATGATGGCTGACCACATTTTTTTTTCAAGGCCACTTCTCAAATTGTGCAACATAATTGTTAGATGCATCAGCAAAAAGCAGCTGAAGAGTGTGAAAATGCAGATTACTGCACGTTTGTTCTGGGGTTTACTGCTTACTTGCATTGAGCACAGTACAGATGCATTTGCTTAACTTTGAGCGAGTTTGTTTATATGTATAGTGGTACTTAACTTTTACAAAGTACTTTCTAACAGATGCCTGACGCTGTCACATGTTGGCTTACTCTTGCAGCATCGGCATACGCCACAGCTCCAGGAGCAGCATACCACTGACCACTCTGTGATCTCCGAGCTTCTGGGAATTTACTCAACTTGACTTTAAGATTCTGTTACTTTTATGCTGCATTATGCTTCTGATGTCAGAGGAAAGTGTCTCTAAATTCACAAGGGAAGTAAACACAGTTATCTCCCCCTCAGCCATCTACAACATGACATGTTGCAGAACCAGAAGTGAAACATGTAATTCACCTAATAAATGTGTTTGAGGGACTCGTTGAAGATATCTGTACTTATTATGAATGGAAGACGTCTGCTTATAAAGAGTGCATCTTTGTACGGGAGTACGTTTTGACATTTGTGCCATTTTAAAAGAAAGAGTCTGACTGCGTGATAATCATGCAGGACAAAAAAAATGCACACTGCAAGTTCGGAAATATTCTAAGATTATTGATTAAGTAACAAAACCCATCTTCTTCTTCTGTTGTTACAATAGATAATCTGCATCCTCATCTATTACAATGATCCTCCTTCATCACATCCATGAAGCTCCTCTGTGGCCCTCCTGCTTTGTCCAGTATATCCAGTGTCCCTCTCCTGCACATGTCCAAACCATCTCGGTCTTGTCTCTCTAACTGTGTCTCTGTCTTATACACATTGTTTACAGTCTTGAACTTTCCTAAAGATGTTTTTTTCCCTAGAATTTACCCAGAACAGGTGCACGTATCCATTGCAGTTCTATTAGACATCTTTAACCTGCCAACTTCCTCACATCCACACGAGGATGAGGAACAGGAAGAGGTGAGCAAGCTGGCAGGTTGAAGAATCTGTGTACCAGACTCTTCTTGGGTGCGACGGCAGCAACTAATGTCTTGTGTGTCCTGCCGTGTGCTGTGTTCAAGACACTCTACTGTAAGTAATCCTGACCCGACTGTCCCAAAATGACCCCCAAGCTTATGGATGAAGACGACTGTACGTGACTATGACCCTCACACTGCTCTCTCTATCTCTATGTCATGTTTAGTCAGTGGTGGATGACGTGACGTGGTCAGTCCCTTTGCTTTCACTGCAGCAGTACGCCTTCAGATTCGTGGGCTCGTATTATTGGGTTACAAGTACTGATGCAGTTCTGAGTAAACATCAGTCTGCTGTTGCAGCTGGTGAAAGGGGAACTCGGCCAAGGTCATGTTTTCAGTGCTATTTGTCTGCATGCCTGTGGAGCAACAGGTTCTTCGGAGGATTTGTAAAGGAAGTCCTTATGAAATGCGGGTCCTGTATACGTTGCACATTACTGGTTACATCTTTCTATAGTCGCTGTAGGTCGAGCAACGCTATATTACAGATAATGCATGCAGCCCAACTCTCTTATTACCTCCTTACTTGTTGTCCGTACTTGCACTGGTCTCTATTTCTTGTTCTAACTGCACTTTGTGTGCACCACGGACCCTGAGCTTCATACTTTCGTCTCTCTGTGTACTTGTATGTGGCTGAGTTGACAGTAGAGTTCACTTTGGCATTACTGATATAGAGCTTTGACCTTTGAGCCTCGATGGACGTTTGAAGCTTGCATAATTCTGAGGGACACAGAGTCCCCCCCCCCCCTTTTTTTTTTTTAAAACACAACGCCACAAGGTGGAGTTAACTTTTTATTGGTTTGCTGAGGTCATTAGGAGCCGATTTTCATGCAACTTTGTAGCAACATGGTGCATGCGCAAAGGAACAGCTCGATAAAATTTGGTGTGGATCTGACATGTTTTGGAAAAATATCCAGATATTTACGTTGGGTTTGGTTGAGTGGAGAGTTGTCATCTGCATCTACTACTAAAAACCTTTCGTGATAGTGTTTCTTGAGTGGGTGAGTGAGTGAGCATTAACCTGTACAGCGGTGTGTCATTCCACCCACAAAACAATAACAGTATGATTCCAACCCGTTCTCACTCCCAAAGCGTAACATTTTACGCTAGGTGACAAATCGTCACCATATTACGTTTTCGGCTACCCACCACGTTCCTAAATGACGACCTCGGAAAAAGAGGAAATATGAGAACCGTCTGGACTGAACCTACACATGTTCGCTCTTATTCTTCAAATCGCTTAGAAACACGCTATTTAACATCATTAAAGTCCTGGTTAAGGTCAGGAATAAGGTTATGGTCAGGGCTAGGGATAAGGTTAGGTTTAGGGCTGGAATACAGGGCTGGAACGTCTACTCCCGCGGGAGCGTCATTGCACTGGATTCCAGCCATAACCCGCCGCGTACCATAAGAACGCCGAAGGTCTCCTTTCGCGTTCCTCAGGAACGCCGCGGGACGTGACAAAACGTCGACATGTTACGCCTCGGGAGTGAGAACGCTCTGATGATTCACGTACCGGCGATGTCCCACAGCTGCAGCCTCACCACTGTTTTGTGGTCCCAGTTGAGCACTTTGAGTGCGAAGTCCACTCCGATGGTGGCCCGGTAATGCTGGGAGAACACCTGGTGGACGTAGCGCTTTATGATGGACGTTTTGCCAACTCCCAGGTCGCCGATCACCAAAACTTTGAGCAGGCGTTCGCGCTGCATGATTACTGAAGACCCCGGTTACGAATTCCGCGTGAACGAGACGTGCAAAAACTGCGAAGAGTGTCACGCTTTTAAATAGTGGATTCTCGCAGGAAAACAAACACCATCGAGAACTCCCCGAGAGCAACTTTGAAGCGCAATAAGGTTTTTAAAACAGGTTTTCGCAAATAAATAAAACAGAACGCGCTATTAAAGTAGATCAGGCGCAAATTACAACAAGTGCGCATATCTTAATGTTCATGTTAAAAGTTATAAATGAAAGCGAGTGTGCCCGAGAGCCGCAGATGCACAAGGGGAGGCGGCACAGGAGTGATCTCATGTAACAGTCCACAGCTGATGACTGCTGACCTCGATGACGTCCCGGGACGCTGGTGCTCACATCTCCGTGGCCGCTCTATGTCCCGGCCAAACACCCACGAGCTGTTTCACAATTTAAACAGTGAAATGGAAAAGAAGAAGATCACGCTTTACGTAAAACTCTGATGAGATAAGGACGAGAAAAAACGAGGCGCTGTTATCTGATGAGTCTGCGGTCTGTGCGCGCTTCTGCAGCAGTTTGCTCTACTGCCACGACTTCAGAGAACAAACTGCGTTTCTGACAGCAGCTCACTGTCTTATAAAGTCACGCCCACATACTGTGTGTGTGTGTGTGTGTGTGTACTTTTCAAACGCACAGCGCGCATATTAAACGCTGTGATGTGCAGAGGTTGGACACACAAACAGGAACAGTTCTGAGGCACTCTGACACCTTCTTCGGTCTAAGTTTAGTTTCCTCTGCTGTCATTGTACTCGCCCTATCTGTTGGTCTTTGCTCAGGGGAACTCAGTGGTTTTACATGAAGTGCTATTTACTTAAAATGACTCAGTAAACCAGCAGAAAATACAGCGAACAAGTTCAGAAGGTGCAGGCAGTGTGTTAAAAGCTTGGTGGATGGGACAGTGCAAAAGTATGAGACGAGGAGTGAGCAGAGGAAACTTTCAGATCCAGGGCTGAGGGTTTTCATCAGCTTGACTTTGTTTTCTATGAGTAGGTTTGGCTTTAAGTCAGCAGAGTCCGGGGTTACAGGTGCATCGTTCTCCTGTGTTAGTGTCGCTTCAGGCTGAATTCTTTTTGTGCTTGCAGATCACTTAGATCCTTTTTTGCACGGAAACATGTTTGAAATAAATTATAAATCCTCCGAGCCAAACACAAACCAGTGCGTTACTTAACATGCTGTGCTCCCTCTGCTGACTGGAGTCTACCATGGGACAGCAGCTCTGGGTTTCTGGGGGCTGATTGGGTGACTGGGCTGATTTGTCACACAGGTTTGGGAAACACTTGCAGTATTTTCTGTGTTTAGCAGGTAGTTAGTTTAAGGATCCCAGATAACTGGAGGCTCAGCCTGTCTCAGTTTATTCTGCTTGATCACCGGTCAGCTGTGCCTCGGGTGGAAGAGCCGATCATCTAACAAGCAGAAGGTCAGCGGATCCCTGATGACTGATGGTCACACTGAAGAATTCTTGGGAAAGATACTGAACCCCGAGTTTCCCCTGAAGCATCAATCAGAGTTTGAGTGTGTGTGTGAATGTTGGATAAAGCCATGGATTAAAAACTCTGTATGAATGGGACTTGCAGTAGAAATCACTTTGCACCCAACTGAGTAGAAAGGCAGTGTGTGAGTAACTATCCAGTCAAGCTGCGTCTCTCTACAGTCAGCAGGTGAGCTGTTGTTTACATCTCCTAGCCACGAGGACTCCCGTCTTCACAATCCCACATCAGCTCTGTGACATTTCAGTCAGACCTCTATCACATTTTCCCTTTTGTTTTCTGTGCCCACATTTAAAAAGCACCTGACCCACGCAGCACAATCACTCTTTAAATCAGCTGCTGTGGCTCAGCAGGTCGCCTGCTAACTCAAAGCTCCATGGTTTGAGCCTCAACTCCTCTAGTCTACACGCCGAAGTATCGTTGGACAAAATACTGAATGTCCATTGGAGTGTAAGTGTGTGAGGGTTAGGTGAAAGTGCTTAAGCACAGATTTAAAAAAGTAATACAGAGAACATTTCATGTGAATGAGTTACATTGTGGATTCTCTGAGTGATATCTGACTTTATAACAGGTTTATTTTTTATTGTTTGTTTATTATTTATTTATGTCCCCACAGCAGAAGCATGAGTAACACACACACACACACACACACACACACACACACACACACACACACACCGAGAGAGAGGGCGTTCTATTTGTTATTGCTTAAAACTACAACTCCCAGGTGCTGGAGCTTCTCACAGGCTGTTCCGTGACTGCGCAGTGGCACATAGACAGCGCAGTGAGTGTGCAGCTTCCATCTGGTGGCAATATTCTTCAATAAACAAATAAATTATTAATAATAATAATGAAAATACTCACAGTATTTTTTGTTTTTCCTCATCCATAAGTCATATTTTCAGTTAGTTTCCTCACAATTACGATCTAACAACCAAACATTTTGACTTTTTGGTCAAAATGTTGTTAGAGAAACTAACTTCTGTAAGTTTTTTCAATATTCAGGGTTTTTTTTTTTTTTGGTCTTTAAACTGTGCAAATAAAATTAGTCTTTGTGTGTTTTATTATCCGTTACTTTGATGACGTCAGCAGACTGTTACAGTACATAAATCCAGTTTTCCCTACATATAAGTAGGATGCTCTCTTACAGAGGCATAATGCAGCTTCTGGGCGTTAATATTATGATACATGGAGGTTTACTGTTATGTGCCCTCCCCTCTAAAAGCCGTGCCGCCTCCCGGTGTTGCGCCTCTGCGCGCTCCTTTACGGTAGTGGTACTGATGCGGGATGAGTCAGGCTATATGATGCTGCTGCCATTTCATCAGCAGCGAAAGCCTCCAAACCCCGAGCAAACACAGAAACGATACCGCGGGATTTCCCTCTCACAGCCTCGTAGACATCCTCTCAGCTCGGAGGCTCGAAACAGAGTACAGAGGCCTGCTCGCAGTTTATTCGCGGCTCCGAGCGAAAGCGCAAGATCCCTTTTTTCTGGTCGCACCTGCACTTGGATGCGTTTTTCTCCTTTCAGCACTCAATCGGGCCTGACATTAAGGAGGAAGTCAGCCCTGAGTCCTCAGGGGCCTGCCGCTCACCAGCCTCTGTGATCCAGCTTCCACACAAACATCGAGGTTTCGCCGCTTTTGGGTTGTTTTTGCGGCTCCCTGAGCATCGATCCCCCGGACTAGCCTGTATCATGGAGCCCTCAGCAGCCTGAACAGCGTGACAAGAGCGACCATTCTGTCCCGAAGCACTCCACTGCTGCTCCAAGTAGGCTGTTTTCCTCTACTGTTTTATCTCCGTGTCTTTGTGGTGTCGCGATAAAAGCGATGGCTGATTAAACCGAAATGACTATTTCCAGGCCTTTAGATTGCTTTGCATGGATGTGATTGAAATTCATAATAGCAAGAAAAGTCGCCTTTGGAAGAAACATCGTTGTCTGTTGTTTGATAAACAACATCAAATCGATGATAAGTCGTGATTTTGCGCACAAACTCACCTCAAACACGGATAAATTTACGCAAATAAATAAATGAAGCAATGGGATCAATAACAACCCCCACCCCCCTACGCATGTAATCATGTCAGTCTGAACCGCAGCCATCTGTAAATGCCGGATATGTGAAACCCTGCGTGTCGTGTCGAACCCACGAGCTGCCCATCCCGGCGCGAGAGCCCATCAGGCTGCTATTCAGCAGGGATTCAGCCTCTAATGTTTGCATACCTCCCGAGCTACGCAACCTGACTCCACAGAGACGCGCATGGGGTGATGGGAGGCCGCGTGCTCGCCTGATGGCCTGGTCGGGAACAGCTGTATTGTGAGGATCTGTAGGGGACAGGGCTGCTGTACAGAGAGCAGCATAGCTTATGTTATCAAATCCCTTAAGTCACATATTTCAGGAGACGTTTTGCCTCTTAAAAGAGAAAACACAGAGCTGAATGGACTAAATAAACATAGTTCAGGATTGAATTACTATTTCAGTTTACATTTTTCTGCAAACCCTTAATGATCTGATATATTTAATGTCGTATACCATGTGCAGAATATGCATGAGTAAATATATACCTGTTCAACTGGCACATTAACAAGAATATCTAACCAGCAGCAGCTCAGTGCATTCAAGCATGTAGACGTGGTCAAGACAACCGGCCGAAGGTCAGACTGAGCATCAGAAAGAGAAAGAAAGGGGATTTAAGCGACTTTGAACATGGTGGTGTTGCTCGTGCCTGATGTTTGAGTATTTCAGAAACTGCTGGGATTTTCCCACACAGCCATCTTTAGGGTTTACAGAGCAGCGGCAGTTGTCTGCGTGAAAATGCCTTGTTGGTCAGAGGAGAATGATCAGAATGCTCAAATAACCACACGTTGCGAGCAGAAAAGCTTCTCTGAATGGTCTACAGCAGCAGAAGACCACATTGGATGTCACTCCTTACAGCTAAGAGCAGAAAACTGAGGCTGAAATCCACACAGTCACACAAACAACAGAAGACAGGGACAATAGAAGATTGAAAAGATGTTCTCTGCTTTGTGTCTTCATTTTTATGCTTTGACATTCAAATAATAAGGTCAGAATTTGGTGCAGACAACATGAAAGTATGGATCCATCACAGCTTGGATCACCAGTTTTGGATGATGGTGATGTAATGGTGTGCTGGATGTTTTCTTGACACCCTTTGGTCCCTTTAGTAGTCAGATTGTTACATTAATATATTTATTATATTATTTTAAGACATGCTTTAACATGTCACCACCTGTTTAGAGTGGTATTTGTTATTGTGTAGCAATCAGAATCGAATTTGGATCGAAGAATTATTTTGTATGAGAAGTGGCATGGAGCAAAGAGCAGATAATTACATTTGAAAGGTAGAGGAGTCAAAATAAAGTCACACGAACTATTGGAAACATTGGGCACATTTCAAAACCCCATCTATAACTGAAGAACTTAAATGTAGTTAGTTACCTGTGACTGGTTTAATTATAGCTGCAAGAAAAATCAGTCCAATCAAAGCAGTTGGTTATATTTGTAATTATATCCCCCCCCCCTCTGAAAAAAGCAGGCTTTGATTAAATCAACAGTTGATGCCATCAAGTGACTAAAGAAGCGTAAGAGGATTCCTCCTTATACCCTGTGGTGTTAATCATATCACACAGGCATGTGAGCAAATTACCAGTCGAAGGTAGCGACAATAGCTAACAATATCAACAGTATTGATATTGTTAGCTTATGTTTCTATTTGTTTATTCCTGCTCTGTCCACTCTGCTGTTTCTCATCTAATCTTATCTTATGTGCTCATTGCCTCTCACTCAGTGCTGCAGAAATGAGCCCTAAAGCCCAGAAACATGTTTCTGGGCCTGCAATCTTAAAACAGATGTTTACAATCCTCTTGAGTTTGTTCATATTAACCGTGGAAAGTGAAAAATACCAGGTTATAATATAAAAAGTCTACAAATGAACAATTAAAAAAAACACCACTGGACGTCCATTTACATCATATGTGGCCACAGAAGTAAAAGTAAAAGTCATCTTACTTCCTGCGCTTGGATTAAGGCTTCAAAAATTATAGCTGTGTGAGTTTGTGAAGATAATCCTGCAGAATGAGACTTGTAAATATCGCAACCTTTTATTAATTTTAGTGATTATTTCTTGTGATTATCCCCAAAAATCCCATCGACTTTTCATCAAGGGAGCCCGGGTATTTCTAAGTATCCAGGCTGGTCTGCAAAAACCCTCCAAAACTCATTATTTTGTCACCCTGTGGGAGCTTGGACATTGCAGCTCAAAGAACAGGAAGTGAAGGGTCAGATGGTAGCATTTGGTTTGCAAAGAAACAACCACGCTTAAACCAAGAAGAACAGTAAGATGTGCACTTAAACAAACAATCTAATGTTGTTTGTTGATTCCTCTCTTCCCTCGCCTCCTCCCTCCCTCCCTCTCTCTCTCCCTCCCTCTGTCTCTCTCTCATGTTTGTGCACCAACAGCTCGTACCACAGCAAGTAGACCAACACTTACAAGCGCACCGGGGAGAGCTGCAGACCAAGCTAAGTCATGGAGGCAATATGGCTCTATCAGTTCCGGCTGATCGTCATCGGGGACTCCACGGTGGGAAAATCATGTCTGATCCGGCGGTTCACGGAGGGTCGCTTCGCCCAAGTGTCCGACCCGACCGTCGGGGTGGACTTCTTCTCCCGCCTGGTGGAGATCGAGCCGGGCAAGAGGATCAAGCTGCAGATCTGGGACACCGCTGGTCAGGAGCGCTTCAGGTAAGTGTGTGTCTGGAGCTTTACAACGAGTCTGCATTTAATGTGGTGTTATTTCCTTTACATCTTTATGGAAATATTATTTAAATTTACTGGAGGTGACGCATGGTAATTTAAGAATATTTGTTTAGCAGGAGAGGATGCGTTTATATGCAGCAGAAATAGTGACATGTGTGCAGGGTGTGTCAGGAGCTATCAGTGTTGTGGTTTGTGTCGTTTTGGGTAATTAAGAACCATGTAAGCGCTCAGAACTAGACAAACACAGCCTGGATGTCTCAGAACGTGAATCAGCAATAATTTGCACAGGGAAAGCAGGCATTCAAATGAGCTCCAGGGTCATGTGCTCAGAGAAAACAACCAGAGCGTTTGTTTCTAAAAAGAAAACAGTTGCAGGTGTTGCTAAAACCTGATAGTCGTCATTTTGGTGCTCCAGGCGACTCTGAAGTGAAGTGAACTGCCTTTACAGAGAAAAAAAGCTCTCAGTTTTTTTTCAGATGGTGTGTTTACATGGTCATAGTCAGATTACACAAACCTATGGTGTGTAATATGGTGTAATAAAGGTGTAATAAAGGAGAAAGAACAAAGAGTAGTTTAGTAGTTAACACAGGTCCCACAGTGCTGCAAACTACTTCCAGAGGTGCAATCACATACAGAAATGCAAATAGTGGCTGTTGTTGTCGTGTCCCAGTATCCCCTCCTTAGTTCCCAATCCCTGTTGTGGTCATTTTTTTCCAGAAAAACACATTTGTCGATTTCTTTTTTACATTCCCGCACGTCCAATAGTTTCGACAATCCCCTTCCAGGAAATTGCTGACAACAGCGAGGCTGCTGTTGTTATTCTTTCACTGATAAGTTCAAAAACTGTGATGAGAAAATACCCAGAAATGCACAGGAGGAATCAACAGGACTGAACAGGTCAATCACAGTAGTTGCAGACTGCATAACTGTACTTTGCTGCGTATTTTCAGAGAGCATGCCAGTGTAGGGGTTTGCAGTTATGACCTAGATTTAACACCAAAGTATTAAACCTCTCTCAGACTGATTGAGATAGGGAAATTATTTTTAACTAATGAAAGAGTTAAACACACATTTTATTAAATGGGAGTCTTTGAAATGCCAAGTATGTCATGTAAAATGTACATGTAAAAATATGTAACTGACTAGGAAGCCAGCGTTTAATATGCATCCTGCGATTAAAGCTGAGATTTTCATGCTGAATGTCCTGACACAAGCCCAAAGTGAACCAGGGAGATTTTGGTTATTAAGTCAATTTGTAAACAAGTATGCACTTATTTATTTTATTTAAGGAATCAAGCGATCAGCAAGTCTGTTGTAGCTGAAATGCGATGACCAATTTAAATTTTTATTTCAATCATTTCAATTTACTCATTTTATTAAAATCTTTATATTTTTAAGTGTTTTTATTTCTCATGCACACTCTGAAGTTTTCTAGTGTTCATTTGAACTGTCACATCATCTTTCAAATGTCTGTGTGCCAAGCTAATTGATCAAAATGCTGATTTAATATGTTAGATTAAAGATGTTTCTCCATCAGAACAGAACCTAGAGTACATGAAGGGTAAAAAAGGGTAACGCATAGCTATAATAATGTATGCCTCATAGCGGGAAAGCACTTTCACACATGCACGCACACACACAGCACAGCTCATCATCCTAACAGAAGAGGACCGGTCTCACCTGTCACCATGATGAAAATCTCTATAGCAACCGCAGCAAGTCCCTCCGAGAACGAAGGATGTCTCAGACCTTTTTCAGCCCGAACACCACGAGGCCTTTTCCTAGAAATAAATCTGTGATACAGTGACTTTTCTTAGAAGCACTTCACACAGATAAGTAGCACTTCACTTCTCAGATGATTTCCTTTGAATTTTTGTATCATGAAATCATTTTTTAGTTTCGTATGCTAGCAATCAGATTTTCTCTAATATAATATAATATAATATAATATAATATAATTTAATATAATATAATATAATATAATATAATATAATATAATATAATAAAAAACAGTAAGCCATTCTCTGACAGGTTTATGAAAGTGTGTTTGGTGAGAAAAAAGAACAGCATTTGAGAATATGGACAATTTTGACTTTGTGTTATTGGTTTTTGGATGAGAGCTGTGATGTCCGTGACACAACCTAGTTGATTATCTTTCAACTTAGGATATTGAAAAACTTTAAAGTCGTGGAGGAGCTGGCAGCAGTGCACTCAGTGAAAGAGACAACAACAGGAAGTGATTTGTTAATGGGGCTAAGTCCAGGCTTAGATAGGCTTGGGCTGCAATAGGATAACTGGCAGGTGTTATGATCAATATGTCTATAAATCTGGGAAAAATGTCCAACAATTTGAGTTGGGTGCAAGATAAAGTGATTAACAACTGAATACGGCACTGAATAAAAGATAGTTTGTTACACGGCTGCCACACAGCTGTCAGATGGCTCAGCCTGAGCAAAGAGTGTGGAAACTGAGAGCAGAATTTCAAGAGTTTGTTGAGAAGAAGAAAGTCAAAGACATCCTAGAGCTCAAATGCAGAATGAAAGACTAAAGACCTAAAAACCATATTTGCATTTGAAATGCTCATGACGAGGTTGTAGCTTCTTCAAAGCTAGTTGGAGAACAGCATTTTTATTCACATGCCAACAGTGAAGATGCTTCATGTTCTCCTTGAAGAAGTTTTATAAATCGAGATATAGATCCTCTCTCAGTGATGTTTTCCCACAAGGATCCAACTCAGATATTGAACCTGACTTTAATGCACTTGTTGAAGCCTGTCAATTGGTAGACCCACAAAACCCCTATACAGGAAGTTGATTTCGGCGCTCTGATAAAGAAAGGTCTTGATCCCGGATCCTGTGAGTCTTTCCCAGTAGATAATGCAGGGTTCTTCAGCTGATGTGGATGAAGGGACTTGTCCAGCCTGACTGCCTTGAACAAGCAGGTGTCTTCCCTGCTTGTCCTGGTATGAAAAAACTCAAGTAGCCTTGCAGGTCAAATTTATCAGGAATTTCCTTTGAGTCTTGGCAAAGGATAAGCACACAAAAAAGAGAATAATCAGATTACATGAATTCTACTTATTGAAGTAACTCACTCTAAGCTAATGTTCATGTTGTTCCTATCTTTGGAACAGAGGTTGGTGGTGAGATGGACACTTCCAGCACTGAAGATGTGCTTAGTGCTCTGTTAATGGTAATAATCAGGAATGCAGGATTCCTTGATAAGTCCCACATCTTCACAGAGGAAACCTTGAAAGTCTTGAGAATCTACAATCCACTTGGAAAATGATTAAAGTCCAAATCCTTCACAGAATTATAATCCAACATGGCAAAGATGATGATGAGCAGAAATAAAGCCAAATCCAAGTCCGATCTGTAAGTCCAGTCCACCATAGCGCTTCTGCTGGAATTTCCAACGGTGAACTTCTGGAACTGCTCATCTCGCAGGGCGCCAGAGACGGACCCAGAACGCCTCCTGGCATCCCAGTTTATTCTTTGTCAAGTGCCCACTCACTCCACTTCTCTCTATAATAACTAGTCAACCAATCAGGTGTTTACATAAGATTCACTGATCTTCAGCCCCACCTTATCACTCACTCTTTATCTCTCTCTTTAAGTATGGAAAATGTCATTACATTGGAACAAGTCACCCACATGAGCCCACATGCATACTGTACTTACTAAAGGTGTATTAATCAGCTGGTAATATTAATTTTATAGCACTGTGTATCTGCCAACATTTATAAAATCAGTAGGTACAAAGAGGCTTGAGGCTGAAAACTATGAACAGAGGAGATGGACAGATGAACTGTTTCCTTTGTTTTTCCCCTATAATTGTTGGTAATAACAGAAATAGAGGACATTATCAGCCTAATGATTTATCTACATGCAGCAAACAAGAATTTAATCATAAATTTATTCATTTGTCACTTGTTTGTCTGGTTATCAGTGGCACAGACTGCACCCAGATAATCCTTCAGTTATTACACTATGGTTGACTAAAGTAGCTGTTTTAGGAAAATATTTAAAAGCCACTATTTTGGGAACTTGTGACGCAGCAGTCCTTGCTTGTTTTAATCCACCACACAGTCCTCTGTTCACTTCTTCTCCACCAGCGATGCAGATCTCTTAGTCATTGTTGTTTCATCTGCGTGGTTCTTGCTTCTAAAAATACATATAAACTATGTGTGTGTCCGATCAAATGAATCACTCTCCGGCTCAGGTTTTTCTGCTATCCACTCCTCCTCTCTTACTGTCTCCTCTCTGTCAGCAACTCCTCCCTTCTTCCTCTTTCAAAACACATCTCTCTTTCCGTCTCCAGCTTAAGCCTCTAATTGTCCTTCCAGTTATATTTATATTCGCATGCAGTCTGTGAGGAAGAGAGAGACGTCATGAGGCAGTCGATGTGTCCCTGCGTGCATGCAGGTTGTCGCATCTCGTCAAAATCTAGCAGCACTTTTCCTCCCTGTCAGATTGCGTAGAGGAGTTACAGTTATATAAACCACAAATCCAGTTTCCACTTGGTATTAAAATGATACCCTAATGACACCTCCATCTTCCTCTGCGTTCACACCTCCTTTCGTTAGGTTTATCTGTTTTATTACTAATATGGCTTATTTTTCTATTCATCCTGAACATATAATGGGTATGTTTATTTTTAAAATCAAGAGAAAAATGTATAAAGTGCAGGGTGTTTGTGATGTACAAGCTGCGTGTCTGGCTAACCAGCTTAACTGCTGCATCAAAGACTTTTAATGTTTTTTGAGGTAGACGAAAAATCGCTGCAGGAATAATTTGTAATTAATGTATTTCACACAGTAGTTCTGGATTTTTAGCAGTTCACTACAAATGTTTATACAATCCAAACTAAGGACAGTGTTACCCAAGATGAGTTATCCAATATGTCCTGTCTGTTATTAGTTTTTTTCTGTTGAAACTTTTTAATAAAAATAGTTTAACAATATATTAATACTTTAGTTGCTTACACAGACCCAGAGATTCCCCGACCGGCTGTGAGTAGTTGTTGGAGGTTGTTTTGCAGGTACAGTAGTGCAAAATTGGTATGTAGTGCTGCACCGAAATCCTCCTTGCAGCTGCTTTGGTCACCACCTGATTGCTGTGGTTACCTGTAGTTTGCATGGAAGACTCTACTCACCATGCAGGGGAAACTGTGAAAAGTGTGCTGCAGTAAATTTGAAGGAAAAACTTTTATTTGAATGATGAATTTCTAAGTTTCACCACAGCTTGGGGAGTAAATGACGAGCGTCTGCAAACAAATTGGTACCTTCGAGCAAAACTACAGGCAACCATGTTAGCTAACAGGCGAGCCAGGATACAGCAGTCTTCTGTACCTACAAAGCTGTTTTAAAATAAATCTGCTGAAAACATTAAAATGTAATTTAGTGTTAAATAAATCCACGGAGCTAAAAGGTGCTTAAATAACTAACTTGCTACAGTTTCTAAATTTAGCCTCATTTATTAAAATTACAATCAGTGTTTAAAACAATTTGCTGAAACAGTGATGTTACACCCTCGGTCACAACTGGTGTTGAAGTGATTTCTGTACACAACAATGATCCTGACTCACAGTCTATTAAAAAATTACATATATTTTTTGCACTAAGAAAGTTAAATGCTGTTGAAACCAGATTTGATGTCTCCTCTCCATCATCAAGGCTTTGTGAATGTAATAAATGTAGTTATTAAGACTATTTCTCATTTTACTCTTAACTCATCTGCATCACACATGTGATCAAAATGGTTAGCAAGAGAAAACTTATCTGTTAAAGTGATTATAAATGGCTTGTTTGCATGCTAATGCTAGCTCTGTTTCCATGCAAAGCAGATTGTAACTGCTCTAAGAACTCCTGTCACTTTCCTGTCGAAGACCAGAGGTTTATCCACAATATGCAACTGTAAGCTGCTACTGACTACAATAGCTTGACTGCAAGCAGAGTTAATCCTGCTTCCAGAGATGATTACCAGCTTCGACCACAAGATCGCAGTGATTTTAGGATTGGATACAGTTGAATACAAGACTTACGAGAAAACACAGAGATGAAAATAGATTTTTACATTTTTATTTATTTGTAAATTTCGCTGGACAAGCAGAACTTGCTTTGCTTGACCAACAGAACTCGATTTATTTTCTTTGTGAACTTCATACATGTTCTTTGCAAACAGAAAGTATATCCACTGGCCACTGCTTTATCTGTTTAACTTCCTATAATCAAATTCTTGTGCGTTTATTATAGTTGGTGAAATAACTGCATGTAGTATTAATGTTAAATGCTTCCCTCTATTTTATGTCCTTTCCAGGTCTATTACCAGGGCTTACTACCGTAACTCTGTGGGTGGGCTTCTCCTCTTTGACATCACCAATCGCCGATCTTTCCAGAATGTCCATGACTGGCTGGAGGAGGCTCGTAGTCATGTCCAGCCACATAGCATCGTATTTCTATTGGTGGGCCACAAGTGTGATCTGGAGGCACAGCGGCAGGTGTGTACACTGTAAAGTAGATTAAAACTGGATCAAAACAAGCACTTTCCCCTGTTGTGAAAGGTTACGCACTATGCAATACAACAAAGTCACAGTTTTGAAAATAACTTTTTTGTTCACATTTATTTATTTGTTTTTGTTTGCACTTATTTTGTTCAGAGGCACAGTTTATTGTCTTGGGTCAGTAGGCAGACAGAAATAAAAATATATCCCCTCTGAAAATTAGACAGCATAACACCACATCTACATTAATATCCCACCATCGTGAGAGCAGGAATAAAATGAAATGAACGAGGAAATTATGCAACATTTCCCATATTAGCCACTTACCCCTATCTTGATCTGCCCACTTTCATAACTTTGTGTTAGAGGGCTCGTTTACCAGCTTTTCAGTTGCCATCATAAATTGGTCAATAATGCTTCAGCTTTATTTTGTAACAGGACTGAACAGTCATTATCTGTGAGTGTGGAATCAGGCCTATCAGCAGAATAACACACTTCAGAGTAACTGGAGACTCTGTGACCTTTGGAATGAAATAGATGATACATGTAAAATTAAAAATTTAAACTGTTCTGTGCAATATGCAATATCAGTGCGCTCAAGTTCAAGGAGTGTTCTAGCCTCTTATTGGTTTGGGATTTTTAGTTGTGCTGGGTTAGCTTAGGGCATGTCACAATATGATGCATAATAATGTCTTGATGTGGAAATATGCAGCTGAAGTAGTCACTCAAATTTGACTTTGTGTGCGAATGGCAGTCCAATCCAATAAAAACCTACAGCTTGTCTTCTTAGTCCTTGCACTTCCTGATAAGACCATTTGTTGTTGAATTGCTGTCGTGGCACTCAAATGTGTTTTACAGCCACTACAGGAGATAGCGTCATTAACTCACTTAGCTCATTTGATCTTGTAGGTGACCCGCCAAGAAGCAGAGAAACTGGCTGGGGCGTATGGGATGCGCTATGTTGAGACGTCAGCCCGTGACGCCATCAATGTGGAACACGCCTTCACTGAGCTGACCAGAGACATCTTCGCCCTGGTTCGGTCTGGTGACATCACCATCCAGGAGGGCTGGGAGGGTGTGAAGAGTGGGTTTGTGCCCAATGTGGTTCACTCATCCGAGGAAGTGACCAAGAGTGACCGGCGCTGTCTCTGTTGATCTGGGAAGACTGAAGATAGGGGAGTGAAGTGGATCAGAGAGGGGTAGCTGACGGACTGAGGTGTCAGCCCTCTGACTGAAAACTGGTGGTAACCCTCGTTGTTCTTTCTTAGAAAAGACACAGAAAGGGATGTTTGGCATATTTTAACAAAAAGGCTGGTAGATCATGGAGAAGAACACCTTGAATGTGGGTGTAAGACTAAAAATGGTTGCGCCCATTAAAGATGCTCATTTGAGGGCTCCCTTTTCTTTTGTTTTGGGCTTCTTTCCTGAATAAACCTCCCTTGCAAAAGCCTTAGAAAGATGATCCATTTCATGTTTCTTCCTCCGTTTAAGTCTTCGGTCACCTTTCTGCTCCCTAGCCTTCTCCTCTCAATATGCAATTACACGATCGCACTGAAAGCTATCACTCCTACGTTAGTGTCCAACATCTTTTTCAGCATTTTCAGTGTAGTGTACTTAGATTCAACCTCATTGATTATTTGATTAGCATCTACAGTACTGTGCCAAAATCTTGAGTCAGCCTAATGTTTTAAATATTGTGTTTGGAAAATAGGAAATAGTTGCAATAATGTCCTAAAATGTGCAAATACACAATCCCAAGACTATCCCACTCTGCTTCAGTTATGTTAAGATCCGTGCTCTGGGGAGGCCAGTCCATGACTGATATTGCTCCACTGTGTACTTTTCTATCCGGGTATATTTGTACTGCATAGGAAGTGCTTTTGGGATCATTGTCATGCTGAAAATGCAGATGCTTTCCAGATGATATTGAGTGGTGGATCATAGCATTTATTTTGAAAAAATCTCCAACACCACTGGCTGAACTGCAGCCCCAAACCATGGCAGAGCCTCCATCATGTTTTACTGATGGCTCTTGGCACTCACTGTTGTACTTCTCTACTGATGTCCTTTGCACATGTGAGAATTTGAACCAAAAATGTGAAATTTGGATTCAATGGTCAATAGTTCAGTGGCTTAACAACAACCCCCCCACCCCTGAAAGACCTTCAGAAAGGCTGGACAACTATTGCTCGAGACCACATAAAAAAATGACAAGAAAATCTGGCTCCATGAAAGCAAAACATAGAGAAATGAGAGGCTACTCAAGATTTCTGCACATTACTCTATCTCCACTTTCAACCATCAAAGCTCAATGGAGACGTCCTGGAGGTCCTAAATATATAAAACGTGATTTTGTTGCTATTTTATTTGACTTTGAAGCAGTTTAGGCCTCCTGTAAGCTCAGTGACATTGACTACATGGTTACATCCACTATCATTTTGCTAAACACCATACTGCACATCCAGTTTCTAATGGACTCCTCAAGCAAGAAAAGTCAACGTGTACAGCTGTGTAACCCAGGTGGATTCTTGTAAAAATTTTGTGCTGGTTTACCTTTCAATGAGACACTTTTTAATGGTGGATTAACAGGAGTGAAATGGAGCCAAACAGCACCTTAGTAACCAAGTTCGTCTTAAATGTGGTACCATTTGGGGCATTTGAAGAAGGAAAACAAGCGACCTAGGCAAAAGAAACAGATACATTGGAAAGAGATGCATTGAAGGGAAATGGACTCCACAAAAGAACCACATTACCCACAATGCAAGACGAGACAGACAGAACTGAAGCTTCTAATACAGGGGATACTATTTTTTTTTTCTGAGCAAGTAGTATACAATTTTTTTAATGTGTGTGGGTAAGTGTATCATATCTAACTTTTGTTTTTAATTTAACACAAAGCTTCAAGTGGATGTCACTGCCATGATTACTTGAGTTATACTATTTATAAGATGGCCATGAGGGTAGATTTAAAACAAAGGGGAACATTTGAGATCTCAAATGACTATATTTCAAACAGTCTGAATTTGAATGTGGATATATAATCATTCAAATGTTGTTAAAATATGTTTATGTGTGACCTAGAGGTTTAAGAACGTGAAGTTTTAGCCACATTTAGCCCAATTTTACTATAATTTTAATCTTGATGCAAAATTCAGTATTTGTGGGTTACTTGAATGATTAAATCACAGCTGTCTGCTTTATGTTATATTTATTTTTGAGGGATACCTTTAGTAAATTTCTTTAAAAGGCTTAAATAATAAATAATTACATCATCATTAAGACCAGAGGTACAGCTACTTTGCCATGAATGGAAATACTGACCTAACTACAATAACAAATTTTTATTTCTGCACATTTTTGTACAACTTAAGCGAGAAATAAGATGTTAACGTTTTGCACAGAGACTAGCTTTCACCCTATTTTGACTGCTAAGCTAAGCTAACAGCTGCTAGCCTCATCGGTCCTTTGACTGAACATATTCTGCAAAAAAACCGATTGCTTTTAAAGTAATTTTACTCTTAAATTAATATTATTATTTTACACTATTAGTTTTTTTTTTAAATACCAGACAACAAACAAAACAGTGAGTAGAGAAAATCAGCAGGTAACCTTTTTGCCATTTATATGACATGTTCTGCAGAAATCAGCACTGGACTAAATATAATACTCTGCTTACCCTGACCTACATACCCACACCAGTCACTTTGTTAGGTACACTTGTTCAGATACCCGTTAATGAAAATATTTAACCAGCCAATTGTGTTGCAAAAATGCAATGCATTTTAGGTGTGTAGACACGGTCAAGACAACCTGCTAAAGTATAAACTGAGTGTGTTAATAAAATAAAGATATCTGATCCCAACATAGGGTTGGAGTTACATGTTAGACTGCCTTTAGTGTGCACTATGAGAATGGGAGAGAAAGTTAATTTGACTTTGAACATGGCATAGTTGTTGCTGCCATGTAGACCATCTGATTATTTCTGTTGCTCTACTGAGTTTATAGAGATTGATGAGTGTGGCGGGGCGTGGCCTGCGGTGCCGTGCAGAGGAGGCGGACGCACCGCCACAATGAGAAAAAGAGAAAATATCCAGTGAGCTTGAGTGAAAATGCCTTGTTGAAGTCAGAGCTCAGAGGAAAATGGACAGACTGCTTCGAGCTCACAGGAATTCAACAGTAAACCACCCGGTACAACCAAAGGATGCAGAAGACCATCTCTAAATGATCAGTGTGGAGTACAGCAGCAGAAGACCACACTGGCTGCCATTTTTGTAGACTAAGAACAGTAAGATAAGGTTACAATCCACACAGGCAAAGTTAGATGATAGAAAATTCGAAAACTGCTACCTGGTCTGATGAGTCTTTATATCTTTTGTGAGATCCGTATGTTAGGGTCCCAATTTGCCATAAATGACAGGAAAGCATGGATCCACCCTGCCTTGTTTTAACGGTTCAGACTGGTCGTCGTGTAATGGTGTGGGGGATATTTTCTTAGAGTTGTACAATGAGATACAGAGCATCTCCTACTCAGTGCAAACATGCTGGGGGGGGGGGGGGGGACACAGTTCTGCAGCGCTATATACATATGGATAGTATTAACAGAGGGAAGTAGTAGTAGGGGGGATGGAACACCACGGCCCACCTGAATACTGTTACTGACCATGACCATCTCTTTATGTCCCATCTTCTGATGGCTGCTTCCAACAGGATAACACACCATGTCACAAAGATCAGTTCATCTCAAACTGGTTTCTTGAACATTTCAATGAGTTCACTGCACTCAAATGGCCTCCATAGTCTCCAGATTTCAGCCCAACAGAGCTCCTTTGGGATGTGGTGGAACGGGAGATTCTCATTATGGATTTGCAGACGACAAATCTGCAGCAACTGTGTGATGCTGTCATGTTAATATGAACCAAAATCTCTGAGTACTGTTTCCAGCACCTTGTTGAATCTATGCCACGAAGAATTAAAACTAGGGAGGTGTACCCAATAAAGTGGCTGGTGAGTGTATATGAGTGTAATTAAAGCCATTTTAAACACGGAGAAGGAACATATAGACGGTTATAGGGTTCTTAGCAATTAAATGTACCTTAAAATACTCATCTAAAGAACCTGGATTGTTTGGTGTACATGTAGATATCTATATATCATTTTGAAAAATTTCCATTTTTTTCCCCTCTCTGTCTCTTCTGTGTAACTAGGATGCTGCTGTAGATGTAGGAAACTTATGGTTTGATTAAATGTTTTACTCTGGTTGTCTGTAACCAGATATACATTCCTGCTATGATCACAGCACTGATTATTCTTTTTCTTTTGTTTTTTAAATGAATGAGCATTACAGTCCTCTGTCGGCCAGTGAGGATAAGTATATGTCTTCATTTTCTCACATTGTATGCCTTCTTTTTAAGTGTTTCCAAAGAGTTTTGTGTCTGTCATTTTATTTTTACATGAATGTATCGTTAAGGGGGATTTTACACTGAGTTGTCCTATTAGAGTAATAATTTCGAGTCAAAGCAAAACACTCCTCTGAAAGCTTTGAAAAGTGATGTACATGTTTTGAGAGTTTATGAGAAACTATTCTAATTATAATAACCCATTTCCACAGCTATACACACTGCATTATTCCTCATTGAAGTGAGTGAAAAGCTGTCGCTAGACGGAAAAGATCGATCTTCAGAAAAGTCCTTACAGGAATAATAAAAAACGCCTGAGCGCTCTCTCCCTGATGTCCTCCTGTTTTTGAAATGTTTCATCTCACAACCGCTTTAAGAAGTGTTTCCTTCCTCTGCCTTGCTGAATCATTAGGGACTGGAATTGAGAACCGGTTCTTGTAGAAAACTGGTTCCCAGTAGTCCAAGTCTGCCTTTCTATCGTTCCCACATATTGGTTCTTGCACTCTTGCCATGATCAGCTGATTCCTGTTCGCAGATCTTTTCTCTTCTACTAAGAGAAAGATCTTAGAGATGTGTGTCCTCATTAGGGATTTGTGTTGGTATGTGGGGTCTACTCTTATGTTATTACATCATCATTAAGACCTTTACTCTTTACAGAGTAAAGGCCCTTTCACATCGGACACGCATGCACTGCGCCAAAATTAGCGTGGCACTGGCCGCTGTGCTTTGCTTGTATGTATTTTTTTGTGGAGGCTCTGCGTGTACTAGATGCGCCCGCTACTTGTCATTTCAAAACATGTATCGCTCTGCCTTTGTATCCTCTACGAGAGTTTGTGTTGTATTATGCTCAAAGTTCCCAAGAGGATTTCATTGAGTCGACAGTTTAGAAGGTTTTCGTGGGTTTTAGTCGGTGCAGTGTCCTGTGTGTGCTGCTCCTCCTCATGGGCGCCAAAAGCTTCGTCAGCAGATGCTGTCTAGCTTTTAGACCGGCATGACTGGAGAGACAG